GTCCCTTGTTGGTGAAGCCTTGATCACAGTTCCACAAGGTATAGAATTTGGGTAATAGGATTTTGTGGATCATTTTTTTTTCATCTGTTCCGACTGCATTCTTATGCATTTTTTTAACCCACAATATCTCTTTAGGGTGGAGGGAACACCAGTGTGTGCCCAACGCTGTAGGATGGGAACTTAACAAGGGGAGGAAAATGCCAAGGTGTATTAATCTTGCGAAATCCATGGACCCAACTAGGTAACTTATTTGTGCATTTTAGTATTCCTCTCATTTATTCAACCTGAGAAAATTGAGCTTCCACTCTTCTCCCCTTTTTCTTTCACAGGTTAGCCATATCTGCTGCAGACTTAAATTTGAAACTAATGAGGTGGCGCGCTTTGCCATCTCTGAACTTAGACATCCTGTTTTCTGTAAAGTGCCTTCTCCTTGGAGCTGGTACACTTGGATGCCAGGTTGCTCGAATGCTTATGGTACGGATTTAGAGAGCTACAACAATAAGTTTGGATCACAATTCATATTTGAGACTAAAAATTTTGTGTGGTGCAGGCTTGGGGTTTCCGCAAAATTACACTAGTTGACAATGGCAGGGTGGCCATGTCTAATCCATTGAGGCAGTCGCTGTATACATTGGATGACTGCCTTAATGGTGGTGATTTTAAAGCCACGGCATCAGTGAGAAGCCTGCAGCGAATATTTCCTGCAGTGGTAGTATTTCTTTTAATTTGACGCCTATAATTTAAAGCTCAATGAAGAATAGAGAAATTTTTCCATTTCCTCTGAGTGTATCTTATATTCCTTTTTCTTAGGAAGCCGAAGGTGTTGTTATGGCCATTCCTATGCCTGGACACCCAGTATCCAGCGAAGAAGAGAAACGTGTGCTTGAAGATTGTAAACGACTTAATGATTTGATTGATTCGCATGATGTAGTTTTCTTGTTAACTGATACTAGAGAGAGTCGATGGCTCCCTTCGCTTCTCTGTGCCAACACTAACAAGGTTTGTATCCTTATTTCATGTATTTGATATTCATTATTTTGCTGCATCACCTATCACGAGTCAGCAAGATTTGTTACTGGACTTTGAGCTATTGGATGACGGCTTTTCTTGTTCATACTTTCTCATTTTGCAGATAACCATTACAGCAGCTCTAGGGTTTGACAGTTTCTTAGTTATGCGCCACGGACCTGGTCCGTTTAACTCCACAACCGACTTGAAAACTGAAACAACAAATTCTTTATCTGCTGCAATTGACAACCTTGCCCTAACAAATAAAGATGGAAGGCAGAGACTGGGTTGTTACTTCTGTAATGATGTGGTTGCCCCAACAGATGTAATCTACCTTAGTTTTTGAATGCAATAATTGGTGATATAGCATTTTAATGCGTTTCAAGTTTAACTATACAATGTGTTGTGGTTTCTGCAGTCAACTTCGAACCGCACATTGGATCAGCAGTGCACTGTTACACGTCCAGGACTTGCACCTATTGCTTCCGCACTTGCAGTTGAGCTTTTAGTGGGCATATTGCATCATCCTGAAGGGTAAATCCTTGGAAACCATGTAACAAGTCTTTCACGATGTAGTTTATTTGGAAATTTAACAAGCTTTTAGTTCTAATCATTACAAGCTTAGCAGAAGTCCAGAGATTGGTTCATTGACCATCCAACTATATATGCAGGATATTTGCTGAAGCAGAGGTTGCCAACTCCAATAATAGTGGAAGTCCTGAGCTCCCTCTGGGTATTTTACCCCATCAGATACGAGGTTCACTCCCCCACTTTCAACAGATGACCCTTTTGGGCCACTCGTCTAACAGTTGCACGGCATGTTGCCACACTGTAAGTTGTTGTTTCTATAATATTGTTCTTTGCTTTTCCTTTCTTTTTGTTGTCATCTGGTTTCTCATTCATCTTTTTATGGTTCGATGCTTTGTGAAATAATTTTAGAATTATCAAGGTTGTGTTTCATAATTTTAGAATTATCAAGGTTGTGTTTCAAGCATGCTAGCTCGTGATTTTAGCTAGAAGCTTTAATGTGTAATAAATTGGTTAATGTGATGTCTTCAATGTATGCTATCTTCTGATAATTGCGAATATCCTTTCAGGTTGTGTCGGAATACCGGAAGAGAGGGATGCAATTCATACTCCAAGCAATTAACCATCCTACCTATCTGGAGGATGTTACTGGACTAACAGAGTTGATGAAATCAGCAAGCTCTTTTCAACTAGATTGGGATGATGAAACAGAGGAGGCTGATGATGAGTGCATCGAATTGTAGGGTTAATCATAGTACCTAACAACTTATTCTTTTGTAAATTGTATAAAAGCAAATTAAACAAGCGATGTCAAATTAATATTTTAGTTTCATTTAACCTTCGAATTTTCCAAAACTTGAATTCATGGAGCATAACAATTGATGCTAAAGGGTTGGGTGGGAAAATATTTCCCGATGAACTAGATTTAGTCATCATCAAATCAACATCGAAGCACCAGTGGTCTACTGGTGATTAACCTTAGGTCAGTTTGGACACCATCAGTAGTGAAGGTTAGCATTGGCGATTTTGGCCAGTTTTGCCCACCTTGAATCATGATGGTTCTGGCCAAAAAAAAGTCATGATGGTTAACTTCGGCCATTTTGTCTAATTTTTGCTGCTTTTAGAGTTGAGTCGTGATGTTTAGTCTTGGCCAAAAAAAAAAAAAGTTGTTTCTCTCATTCACTTGGCCCGCACTCGACCGATCGGCAATTGCATTTAGGCCAAGAAACACAGCTTCCAGAAAGAAAAAAAAAACGTTACCTTTGAATTCCCAGGCAGCGCATTCATGGCAGTTAAAATATCATGTTCAAGTTGAACTCAAGAGAGCCACACATAGAAACTAAAGCTGAGTGACAAATTTCTTGGGTCCATTAAAAAGGCAATAGCACTAGAATTGAGATTATTTAACATTACAAGGAAGATTTGACTACTTTTCCTTTCTTTTGGACATGCAAGTTGCAAAAAAAAAAAAACAACAAAAGTCCACTGTTGCCTCCCTTGAAATTACTCTTACTACAATGAAAGCTTTAGGTCTAAACCACTATCTTCTTTCTTGGTTTCTTCTTCTTCTCTGTTTGAGGAAGTGCCTGCAATATCACCATTCACAGCTCCCTGCTTGAGATCAGGAATAATATTCTTAGACTTAGAATTGGAATCCTGATCCATGAAATCTTCTGGTTGGAATGTTGGATTCCACACGGCCTTCTTCTCTTCCTCTTTCTTCTTCTCATCTTCTGATCCATTTGGCACGTTTCTTAGACGATCGCGCATCTCCCTTGTGCTTCTGATCAAAGCGAAGAACTTCTCTACCTTCTCTTCTTCTTCTTCATCTTGTTGATCATTCCCCATTTTTCTCTTCTTTCTTCCACTCTCCATGATCATATAATTATTAACCCGACTCTCCCTTTGACTAGTCTTTCCTTATTCCTTGCTGCTTAACGCTAGGGAAAAAAGACACACATGAAACTATATATATTCATACATAGAATATTTACATTGCTAAATGCAATTATTATTGTAAGTATATATGAATGATGTAAGGGAGGAAAGTGAGAGGAAATGAGCGTTTCCTTTTTGTATATAATATGCAATGCATGAATCAAAGTTAGAAAACTAAACCGTGTTCGTTGACCCTTTATAGAGCATCACCACCGCGTGATCTTATGAAAAAAGTATCTGATAAAAAGGCTCAAGTTGACGAGATTGCCCATGTAATTCATTAGAGAATAGAAATGAGCAATAAATAAAAGCATGGGTAAAGTAGTAAATTTTGAGGTGGTGATTTTTTGTTTTAGGTGACAGGAATAATTGTTTGCGTCAGTGGCCATAACGTAATGTTCCCACCAACACAAGCTGACGCTTTCATCATGACATTTGCCATCTCTTGGCACTTGCTGGCGGCTCTGTTCACCACCGGGGAATCAATTAGGTCACCATGGGGGCCCATCAGCCTTTGCCACTATCGGTAATTTTTCTCGACTTATCCACCATTGGGTTTCTCTAGGCACATTAATTAATTAAGATAGTAAATAATATTTTGAAGAATGGGAGGATCCATCCGGCAATTACTAACTAGAATTCATTTGAGATGTATATATGTATGTATGTGATAATATGACATTGACATGCATGCGTTTTCAGACAAAGATTTCTGTAGAAAAACAGTGTTTAATTAGTGTTTAGAGATATTTTTAGGAGGATGATGGTGTCTACTAATGATCCATATCATGATTGCTTTAGCCTTTAGGACAAGATATTTAGTTTGCAGGATTAACTTAAAAACTTTGTCTAGCTCTCATGTCTCATCACACCATTTCAGACATAGTCGCTGTGAATGAATAGTCAGCTCTAGTGGGTTTTTGAGTAACCATATATATAATTATTAATGAATGAGAATGAATGATGATAAAGCTGGAGCACAACTCACATCACAATCACATGACCCTCGTTAAATTTTGGACCGCTGTTAATACAAATGAATCATATCATATATATGAATATCTATCTAGTCTGTTGCTCCCTTGACCCTTCCAGCGGAATCTGTGGTCGCTAATTTCTCCATCCTTAAAGAGGAAACAGCATCTCCTCTTTTCCTATTTTTGATCTTCACCACTCATAATCAAAGAAAATCCTACCACACTTAACCGACAGCTTTTCTCCATCCATGTCCCTTGCATTATATATTATTCAGATGCTCCCAAAACACAACACATGAATCATTGCAAACGCAAAGTATCTGATGTAACAGTAAATATATATAACATCTTCGAGGAATGATACATCAGCTGAGCAGATTTATACCTTAATCTGTGGGTTTTTTGGTGCAGCAGAAAACCAGCACAAACAGATTCCTAAGCTACTGCTAGTTTTACATTATTTGTATATTCCAATCGCAATCTTCATCTATAGCATGAGAGATAGTGGGTGAATAACACAGCAAAAAGTTTTACTTTTACCTTTCCTAGCTAGTCATCTGCCCATCGAACCCCATGTTTAGCCCAAAGATAGTATGCCCCAACTGGGCCTCTACCTCCCAACTCGTACAGCTCAGGTGCTATATTATTCCGGTCTATCTCTTGCAGAATAGGAGTCAAAATACTCCACGCAGCTGCAAGCTCATCACTTCTCAGGAAGAGATGATTATCACCATCGATGACATCAAGCAGAAGGTGCTCATATGAATCAGGCACCTCAACGTTATACCTTCAGCATTAACACAGCAAGAGAAATGAGTATTGATAGTAAGTTGATGTCAGTGCCAACAGATAGCAAGTACTAAAAAGATGAGTGCTCACTTGTCCTTATAGAGCAGATTTAGCTCAGAAGCATCTAACTGCAACCCTAGTCCTGGAATTTTATTGTTGATTTTAACCAGGATGGCCTCATCAGGTACATCGCGTAAAATGAGTTCATTAGTAGCAAGCTCAGTATTGTGCCCCATACGTTCACGATATAGATTTCCAGGAACATGATTAAACTGTATACGTATCTCAACTCTGCATTACATAACTTAATGCTGGTAAGCAATTACAAAGTCCATATACGAACATATATAAAACTTTTTCTCCTAATTAAAAGTAGCAACGATTATCTGTTAGCAAAGGATATCTGTATGCATACATCCACCAAACCCCATTAAGACACCAGAATCAACCCACTTCTCAAATGCAGAATTGATCAACAAACCGGACCAGATTTATAATGAAACTTATTAAAAGTTAGTGATTTATTTTATGTTTATTGAAGCCATATCATTTCCAAGCAGGCACATTTCTCCTTCAAAAACATATCTTTACAACCCATTTTGAAAATTATCATTTCAATCGGAAAAAACAATAAGAAGCCAAATCATAATTTTCTATCATAAAATAGCTTCTACACCAGACAAATGTGCATTGTACTAAAGGCCCTTTAGTTTAAATATATCCGATATTGTCATAGAATAGCACTATATATTCCATTAAGAAAGTAATAATAATAAAAGGAAAAAGACTATTTGATAAATCTCACCTGTGTTTGATAAGTCCCACACCAGCTTTGATTAAGAAAGGTACACCGTCCCAACGTGCATTGTCAATGTATAATGCACCAGCAAAAAAGGTAGGGGTCAGGCTGCTCAAGCTCACGTCAACCTTGTCTCCAGAAGTAGCTTTGTACTGGCCAAGAATCACATCACTAGGTTCCAATTTGCGAATTGACCTGAGAACCTTGACCTGAAAAGAAGCTCGTCATTATAAATACTAGATTTTTCGGAAGTGTGCTATTCACACAAAGGAAAAGACGCCACCTTTTCATTTCGAATATCTTCACCATCAAGACTTATAGGTGGTTCCATGGCTAGCAATGCTATTGTCTGGAGCATGTGACTGTGAACAATGTCACGAATGACCCCATAACCATCAAAATATCTGTACAAAAGAAGGAATCAAATGAACAGGATAATGAATACTTTCTGGAGGAGACACAAAAAAAAAAAAAGGAAATAAAGAATATCAATACCTCCCTGTTTGCATACTCAAGTCCTCTGATAAGATCACCTGCAAAATGATTCAAAGATGAATCAACAAGCACCTTGTTCCTGAAAGCATAGGTGGATAAACATCATTTATATTGATACCTAGTTTACCTGCACATTTCGGATGTAGGTACGACTCCATAATGGCTCAAAAACTAGATTTGAGAACCTTAATACCGTTAGGTTTTCAATAAGATTCCTCCCAAGGAGATGATCTATCCTGCAATGAGATTGATGTAAATTGTGAAGTAGTGAAAAAGCATAAACTATGTGATGATGGCTCAAACAGTTTGTTAACATAGAAGGATAAACAACATGCATACACACCTGTAAATTTGCTTCTCCTCAAAGTTAGAAAGAAGGGACTTTGTAAATTTTTTAGAAGATAGAGCATCAAATCCAAAAGGTTTTTCAATTATTATACGATTCCAGCCTTTCTTTGTTTGGGCATTATTGGCAAGAGAAGAAGCAACATCCAGAAGTGCTTCTTGTGGAACAGAAAGATAGAATATCCTGTTCGCATGATATCCCCCCTGAAGTAGGTAAGCTGTTAAAGTATTAGTTATCAAATACCAAAGCATCTAGTTTGAAGATTAGAAGGTTAAGAAAATGCAGGTAAGTTGAAAGCTTAGAGTTTTTAGTATTACTTACCTCAATCTGCTCCATTCGAGCATTCAGTTTAGACATCCCTTGTTTGTTGTCATAACCTCCATTAAGGTGGTATGTTCTACTAAGAAAAGCAACCATCTTGTCCCCACAATTTTGCCTGTAAAAGGAAATTTCATCAAGAATGTAAGGAAAGAATAAAGGAACCAATAAATTATTCATTATTAATGCAGTATATGAACACCCTTCATACATGGGTAAACAAATGCAACCGTTATACTCTGAACGAAAAAGCTATTCTGAATTCAAGCAGTCAATGTAATCTACATAAATTCCCAACAGAGGGTTTGTTAGTTGAAACCCGAAATAAGTTTATGGGCTAGATACTTCCATCTTTACACCAATCCACTATATATGTGTTTCTCATCAACCAGTAAGTTATCAGTGAAATATAGGTAACAGGCATATGGTTGGGTAACTGCCTGATACAGCAACAAAGAACAAATAGATAAAGAAAAACTAGTGAGTTGATCAAACTCCCTCCTTTGAACTAGTTGACAGAGAATGTACCTTCTAAAAAACAATTTTTCTTTCAAAATTTAGAATCTGTATAAGATAAGGATTAAAAAACTGAAGAGAAGGATTTCATAGAGGGGTACAATGTAAAATGAATGAGGACCATACTGATGATCAATGCGGCAAGTCAAGGTTGAAGCAATGAGGGATCTTAAATCTTCATCTGTCAAATCCTTTCTGGAATAACCAAAGATACCGACATTCTGCAGTCATATAAATGATAAATGGAAGAATGAGAAGCGGTCACCACATTTACTACAAGTGAAAGAAAGAACTTAAATCCATTTCATTGACATATCTCTTCCATTTTATTCAAGGAGATCTGAAGTCTAGGTTGGCTCCACAATTCACAAATGAAATTATCAAGGTGAAAGGAATAAAATCCAGAAGAAACAAGGGAAATTAGATAATAAGCAACCAACTTGCTAGCTATTAGAGTAGCACTACCTCAGGAAGAAACCCACTGTAATATAGAGCAAATAAAGCTGGAAAAATCTTCTTCCTAGCCAGTTCACCAGTAGCTCCTATAACAGCAATGCATAGAGAGGGTCCTCTATGATGGTCATAAGCTTTCAAATTTGAAGAGGAAGGTGAGTCCCAAGAAATGCCTGGCTTTCCTGCAATACCAGTTTGAGAACTAGGCAAAGAACTTTCTTCAGGTGGTGAAGTTGCTTCTGTATGTTCTGCTCTGGAATCTAAAATTATTCAGATTTGACATGATTAGAAAGGACCACTTAAAAAACATCACATATATGATAAAAGAAAGCAAGTTAAAGAAACTGGATTAACAAAGTTTAGCTTCTTTCTTTTCCTAACCATTGGCAAAAGACATTGTTGATGCTGCTTCAGAAAATTGTTCATCATTTGCTAGATTTCTCGAAGGATTTTCTGACTGATCCTTGTCCTGATTTCTTATGCTCTTGTAGTCATTTGAAGGACCCTGCTTTCTGTTCTGCTGGTAAATGTTTAGCCTCTTAAGTATTCGTAATTTCAAACCACAAAACCTCTTGCAGAAATTGCCAGCTCCTCCATATGGCAGAAGTTGACTACAAACTCTCAATGATTGGAAGTTGTTGGCTGCACCCTGCATACAAACATGAATAACTTGTTGGATGTTGACTCACAAAAAATGAAAATCTGTTATCTATTTTTTTTTTTTTAGAAAAAGGTTTGAGCTGCAATTTATGTGAAGGTGTTAGCTATAGACTGTGCATTCTAATGTACTTGCGAACAAAAATTGCAGATAATAGAAAAGCAAAGGAAGGAACAAGCGGTGTTAAGTTAATCCTAGAATACCTATTTTCTTTACAATTCAAAAGCTTTCAGTGTGCTCTAGAAACTTTAAGCTACTTAAGTGTTGAATATAAAAATAACATTTTTTTTGGCTGAAAAACGAAAGATGATCATGTGCAGTTAAGTGTAACATAGAATTGGAAGCAAATAGCCATTGAGACAAAGAGAGAAAAAGAAGATTAAAACAGTAGAAAGGTTGGATCCTTTTGTTTAAAATGAAGTGTAGTTCCCAATAGGCATCTCCAGATTGTCAAGTAAAAGATGAAATCAGTGTTTGTGATAAATAAGAGAGAAATTTGCAGGAAATTAAAAAGTAGAGATGAGATGTGAATATAGAAGAAGCTTACAGGGAGAAGAGAAGTGGATGGAGCAATTGAAGATTCTGAGAGGTGTATGGACAAATGTGAAAAAGAAACTGACATCCTTCCTCAACTTGTCTTGGGGATTCTTAAGGTTTGTACTTGACGAGCGATACTGGAAGCAGAAGATGAAGAAGCCTGTGAATGAAGTCAGCATAATCAACGGTTTCGAGAGGTGTCTATGTGATGGAGGCACTTGTCTGCTCTGCGGCTGCTGCCTTTATCTTTTATTTTATATAAGTTTTTTAATTTGTTTCATCGATTCACTATCATCACTTACGTTTACACTTTACATTCCAAGCTTTGTGAATTTGAGAAGGAAGAAATTAGAAAACAACAACTTTGGGAGTCAAACAGAGTTCCAACAGTGCAACACTGAACACGACATGAGACTTGCCAGTTCGGAAATCGGAACGAACGAGGTTGTAGTAATGGGTGTGTGGCCCAAGAATTAGCAGCGGGATTTTGGGCTGCTTAACGGCCCAATTTCCTCATCAGGCAACTTCACTTGTTTTGCCTTCTTCTCTTCCAAGGACCTGGCCCATCGTATCCAAATGCAAATGCTAATTGCTAGGGAAGAAAATTATTTACTATTATTAAAAAGAAAAAAAGAAAAAAAGAGCAGACATTTTAGAATTTAGTTAGACACATTTGATTTGAATTCTCAAAAATACCAAAAAACATCAAAAAAAAAAATGTTGTCTGTAGAAAAAGTATATTATACTATATAGCAAGTTGTAGGGGAATAGGGACTAATTAATACTTAAGGGAGCATTGGTTGGTACATATGAGATGAGATGAGATATATTATATATTATATTATATGGCTGTCCGGCCCCAAACATAAGAAACATGCATGAATTGATACCACCATTTCATTTCCTTCTTCGATTACATAAATGATAAATCCATTCACACCAAACTAAATGACAAATGATTGGATAAAAAGTAAGTAGTAGTGGGATAAAACACAAACAGACACCCAGACAAGACAGAAATCGGAACACAGTTTACAACTTCCCATGTATACAATTTTATAATGTGTCATCTACTACTAATAATCTAGTAGCTAATAAGATGAGAAACGTAGGTTAACTTAATCCATGAATTTCGAGCATCTCAATCTGCATAGACTTCATAGGTAATTTTATATTTTATTACTAACACTTTATTATATATTAGATACTATTATTCTTTTATTTACCAATTATGGATACCGTTTTTCATCTTCGACAGGGACACCAACCCACTAGCCACCACGTTTGATCAACTTAACCTACAATTTTATATTTTTATATTTTACTCGTAATAAATA